GTCTTTAAAAACGGAATATAAACTTCTCAGACTTAGCATCAAAATAAGTAAAATCACGTTTGATTTTGAGAATTGGCCCTCACTCACCGAGTTTACCTTCTCGAATTTCTAGTATATGCTCTGCATTTCGAAGTCTAATATCCCCGTGTCCCGTTAAATTACTTGGCAATAATTGAACTTATTATTCTCTATAATTATAATAGTGTTACAAAGTGAGCTCATTATAATTGCCAAGCAAATATTTCTTGGCACATAACTACCATTATCGTTGGTAAATTATAGATAAAACAAGTGTTGGCTCAGATTTTTCAGTTCATCAGATGCATTCACTTTCAAGCGTAATTTCACCACTGGTTTTACACATTTATATTAACGATTTTCCTAGTGAACCTATTCAACCAATTAATTGATATTTCAAACATAAGAACATATAAAATAGGATTATTTGCCACATGGTTTGAAACTTTTTGCCAACAAGTTGCTAAGTTCATTATATTATCCATATTACATCTTGATTTATAGAAAAAAACCAATAATTTCCAAAATTCACGCGGCAGCTATCAAAATCTATAGTAGAACAAAAGAAGGAATTCACATTATTAAATTTTGATAACTTAACATCTGATTTCGTTTTTCTTATCGACGAAAACGGACAAGAGCATAAAAATTACCAAACAGTGACCTCCATCCCTTATACAATATTCTAGAGCAGGGGTCTCCAAACTTTGAAGCCTTCGGGCCATAATGATTTTTTCAGTTTATTCCAAGGGCCAATTTCAAATAAAACCGAGTAATTATCCTTCTGTGTTTTCTTCTTCAACTTATCACAGCAATAGTAACAACAATTAGGTACACTGCCCAGCGAAAAAATCTAATTTCAATTTTTACGGCCGGATCATATACCAAACTTTTACTTCATCTCACCACTTATATAAGTATGCTATGTGAAGGCTCGTTGATTTACAGTGTGACAACTTTCTTAAACTAAATGTTTGTGTATGATGTGTGCAATGCAATTATTTAAGTGAAACACATAACATGCATAATGCATTAAATAAATAAATAATGCATGACGAAAATGTGTATCCAAAATATGGAAATTCTTTGTTTGTACCTGATATTCCTTGAATTGTACAATTCTTACCAGTTATTTTGATTTCGATATAAAATTTTTCTTCTCTCTGTTAATCGTGCTTAGTGCTTGTTCGACAGATCAGGTGATATAGCTGGCTACCACGCTAGACCTCTTTGCCGATTTATCTCCTGGGAAAATGTTTACCAGAAAACAATTTGACGTACTCATCAAAATATGGGGTTGGCATCATGTACATGTATTTCTGACTGAACAAGAATTTACGTAGGTATAGTTCCAAAATGAGTGTGTCTATTCAACTTCCACTGCAACCCGCAAAGGTTTGTTGTAGCTCACACCTATTTGCTCAAATAAGTGGGGTTTTCTAGTGAAGCCAAATAACTTATTTGGTGATTGATTTTTGAGGTCAGATGACAAGTGTCAAACTCTGAAAACCTGTTTTGGTCCGCAATGGGACAGGCACAAAGTATATGTCGACCTATTTCATCATCTTCCAAATACAGACGACATGCACAATCTACCGATGATCCAAGTCTGTTCAATAAGTTGATTCAGACGACTTATTTTCAAGAATGTATGAATGGCTTGAAATGAGCCAATTCTGATAGATTTTGCGAGAAGTCTAAAACTCTCCTTACAGTCCAAATGTACAGTGTTTGTTCGGCAAAGCCTAAAGCGATGTCAGGCAATGTTCTGGTCCGATGGAACTGGTTGCAGCACCCTACCTTGAAAGAGAATCAGCAACCTCATTACCTTTCAGGCCAGTATGGCTAGGAATCTGGACCAAGTACAATTTGTTGAATCTTTCTATTGATGTGGTTTTTTGGCAGTTGACTATCAACTTGGACGTCCCTAGGTGAGAGTCAGGTGCTCCCAAAACTGCTTGGTTACAGTTGTGTCTGACAACAACATGTTGGTATTTGAAACTAGTAGAATCAGGAAACATATTTTTTTGCGACGTTTGAAAAATTGAAACAGTTACAAGAATTCATAGATCTTATGCTCGCTCAAATTAAAAAAAATAATGACGGTTCACTAGAAAACTTAATACCGCTTCAGCAGAATGGAACGTCCTTACATTTCGACGATCACGTGTTCCCAGGCATGCCTGTAGAAAGTTTTCACGATCACTCCTGCAAATTTCGTGTATAAACCGCCAAAATTTCCAATCTCTTTCACTTACCTATATATGAGGTGGACTCTAATGAACTGAAATTCATATCACCACACCTTTTGAGTATCAAAAAGTTCAATTATGTATTATTGGATTCATTAGGTTTTCAAATATATTTATAAATCATCTAATTGTTTTCGTTTTCAAAATATCAATGTTGAATTTTCTGTTTTCCGAAGTCCATGTTTGATCACTCGTCCTTTGTAAGCTTTTCTGGGAAAAAAATGAAAATGTATCCACGCAAGAAAGCTATTTTTGAATCTGTTAGGAAAATGGAGGACAGATTCAACATCAACCAAAGTTTTTTAAATAAATTGTTTGCATTGCTTATATTCCTTTCAGTCTGATCTGTAAATATTTATCGGGTGATATTTTGTTTAATCATGAATTATTTCAAAAAGTATTTTGATAAAATATCCTGATATTTCCTCCTTAGTAGTTTTATCGATCGCCACGTATTTATTTACATAATATTTTGGGTTAACGATTTCACGGAAGGTTAAAATAATAAAATACATAGTATGGAAACCGGGAAAGATACAGGTTTTAAGCTGTGTGTTATGCTTTGAGACTATTTATTGGCGCGCTTTTCTTACTATTTTTTCTGATCGCCTGGTTTTCCGAATCGGTGCGCTGCAGTCCATTTTTTTTTCTTGATTAAATACTGATAATGTTTGATAGCCCCGAGTGATTTCGGTAATGGGCTGCATCTAAGGTTTCGAGAATTTAACGGTTTATTCCTGTAGTTGTTCGATTTTCTAAAGTTTTCTTCTAACCTACTGAAATCTGGATAAATCGTGCTTTTGATGTTGAGGACAATCGACAGACACTGTTACATAAACACACATGAAAATAAAAAGGAGTGTTTTGTAAATGAAGAAAATCTAAAAAAAATCTTTCGCTTCAGCTTCTATTCCACGAACTGTCTCTTCGATTTTTCTTTTCAGAGTCTGCGACAGAAATATTGAAGATATAGTTAAAAAATAGTATGTGGCGTGGGCAAAACGGATTTTCAAAGGTTCTAATATATCCTTCCTCTATACGGCTATTGGTATTATCTGCAGACTAGCGTAGTTGAATTCGTTGTTATTCAGTATCTTCTGAACTAGTGTTCCTCCCTACGGATGATAATAGTGTTCTTCTTGGACTCTCAGTAACCTTTCAGTTTTACCGATGTAAATCTTTGTTCGAGTTCAGTGGTTTGATTCTCCTGAAGCTGCTAAGAATGGTCTTCCCGAATATATATGAAGCAGAATCAAATGCTGTAGGGGAAAGAGTTCTACTTCGAACCACTCTTTTTCATCTGTAAATAAATCAAGATCGTCTTAGCGTACGTCCATCATGTATACAGGGTGTTCCTTAGACACATGCTAATATTCAAGGAGGTAATTCTTAGACCCATTATAAGAAAAAAACTTCCTATGGACGTATGTCCATTGTTTTTCTA